TACTTGTTCTTGCTCTGGAAAACTAGTCTATAATCGAATCCGGTAATATAGATCGTAACGGAAAAGCAAGACCTTCCACAGCACCACGAAATAAGCAAATTTTTATGAGCTAAAGAAGCTCTTTTGCTTCATAGTACTAGAAATGACAATACCGGCCAGCTATCAGTATCCTATGTTAATGTTGTTGTTAGGATGCTCCCACACACCAGATGCAGCATTTTTGAAATATGCACACCATGTTTTTTCCTAATCCTAAACTGCATACCTCCACTTAGTGCTTATCGCCTATTCGACGTACGTGAACACTTCTATGGGGCTGCCTCGTAAAAATATTGTTTTTTAAAATTTTTTGACAAGCGTTTAAAAAGTCTGCTACGAGTATTTTTAATTTTCCACAAATTCCAGTCGTTTCTGTCAAAGCTAAACTGTACCTTAGATACATATCGATATTTGCCGAGCGAAATCGGGATGTTGAAGGAAACGACGATGCTGGAATCAAATACTATGCTTTTCATTCGCACACAGCCTGTTGCAAACATTCTGAAATGGTATTTGCTTTCATTTTGTCTCTTACACTTACTCAGCCGCATCAAGGGAATGGTGAGGCCAGTCGCTAACATTTTTGAACAGTGCACACTAAGTTTTCTGTTTTTTTGGAAAACCGTACCTTTAGGTATAAATTATGGATCTTTTGTGGAAGCGACAAGAATGTCGTTGTGGGAATTAGCACTGATTATACTGCTGGAGGGAATGACTGTTCCATCCGACTGATTATTCTAGTCATTTGCCAGAGTCAAAGCTATTATCAGCTTGTCTGTAAGTAGCCCTGGAAAGAGAGAGCCATCGATAGTCTTGCCGGTGATTTAAATTTAAAGACAGAAAAAAATTTGAGAGAGAAGGATAAAGAGATAAGACTGTACCGCTCCTGCTGGACAACTACCAGATCCTAAAATCCATTAATCAAAATCAAGTTCAGAAACTTTTTTTTTGAAGTTGACGCGCCTATTTTTCAGGGCAGTTGCATGCGCTTTGGAAAAGGAGTGCATGGGACTTGGATCAGGTGGGAGGAAGTTTGAACTGCAGTGCAGTTTTGCCAGCGATGACCACTACAGGTATATTAAATCTTGCAAAGCTCTTCAGAGCTCAATTTTTGACTTTTTTTTGAGTGCACATTTTCCAGGAAATATGCGCACTGTCATCGCTTTGACCAAAGTGTTTTTAATCTCTTGATGGCCAATCAGTATGGCTTCGAGACCCGCAGATATTTTAAGGACGGAAAGAATCTGTTTGAAATTTATCGCGGAGCGAGTCGAATCATCACTGCCGGTATGTTAAGCTGCGAAGCCCGTGACAAGATCTGATTATTTGCTTTCAAGGATTATTAAAGAACAAATGTTTTAGAAGGCTATTTGATCAATACTTTTTCTTTGGACGGATTGTTCACCGAGAATGTGTCGTTGCACTTTTAAATAGTCAAATAAGGGGTAAGGAATTAATCTAGATTTAGTATACAAAAAACGGTGTTTAGGTGCAATTTGTGTTTCATTCTTTTTATCTGTAAATTTTTTATCTGTCCTGTGCAGAAATATTGATTTTATACTTATCCTCTCTCGATCCTGTACTCATCTTTCGATAGCTTTTTAAATGTATAGCAGGTGTTGAGCGTATTCGGCTCATTTCGCAGGTTATTAAAAAGTTCCACTGGGTATTCTTTTCACCGAAATTCTCTGCTTTAATCGGTTGCATGGATACGCGTTTTATGCGTTTTTGCTGTGCAGCGCTAGCAGCGCTATAGCGCTGCTACAGCCAGCAAAAGCGCATACTGTCAAGAGGCTGTCTCTGTGTGTGTGTGTGTGTGCGTGTGTGTGTGTTCGCAAAGCGGGTGCATTTTGTCACCCACTTTCAACTCGATAACCAGGAAAGCTGGGAGGCTGAAACTTCGGATATATGTTCCTACCCCGTGTGTCATCCTCCCGT